CTCCCAGGGCTGGGAGGGCTCCTGCCCCTACACAAACAGAGCAAAGCTCTAGGGAGCAGAGTGGTGGGGAAACCTGCAGGTCACAGCTCTGCCACCCCTCATGAGCCCACCCAGGATGACCTTGCCCTCCTGGGCTGCTACCAGACTGGCACCAGGACTGAGGGGTGGCACTGGGTCCCCAGGCCAGCAGAGGATGGGGGGTAAACAGGCTGATGGGGGCTTTCAGGAAAAGAGGGAACTGCTGGTCTGGCCCCAGGGACCCCAGGCAGCCAAACCTGTGTGACCCTGGGCTAACACACACAGAGGCACAGATAGGGCTGTCCCCAGCCCAGGGGGACCTGCAGCACACCCTGGCCAGCTGCCAGCCCATGGAGGTGGCAGGGGACCCTGACACGCTTCTGGGCAGGAGGCACACTGGCATGTGCAGCACCCCTGCCCTGCAGAGCTGCTTTGGTGAAGAAGCTGAGGACTTTGTGAGTGGATAACAATTCCTGAGCTGCAAAACCATCCAAGCATGGCCCAGAAGCACAGTGGTGGTGTGGAACCAGCTGGGGACGGGCCCATGCTGCTGCTGCTTACACGGGCACATGGTCATGCCACCGGCAGCATCTCCAGAGACCACCCGTGATGGAACTTGTGCATGTGCACCATGAATATACCAATGACAGCTAACTTCAACAGATTTAATTAGGGATAACCACAGAGCCAGTGCTCAGAGCTGCTTTTGCAGTGGGAAGTAGCTTTCTTTTGGGGGATTGGGTGGGGTCTTTATCAAAGGTGTGGCTCGGGGCTGTGCAGTGAGGTTGGTAGAGGTAACATCTTCAGAGGTGAGGGAAGAGGCAGGTAAATCAGGAAGGGGGAGATGTTTGGCAAGGGGCACAGTGCTCTGACCAGGGAAAATCCTTTCTTTAACCTGCAGCATTTATCCAAGCCTTCTCTAACTGCCACATCCTCCTGCACCGGATCCAACCCCACTAATGGGTTTAACAAACTGCATTTAACTGGTCACCCGAACTAATCCCAAATCCAGAGATTAGAAAGAACCTCAGCTGCTGCTTGAGACCAGCATGTCCTGGAGGGTGAGTGCTGAGAGTTACCGCTTTAATTGGCTTAGGAGTCTCCATGGCACAGCCGATCCAAGAGCGGGACTGACACCCCCAGGAGCAAAGCCCCCGGCTGCGGCTCAGCTCCAGCTTGGGCCGGGATCAGGTGTATCAGGCTCACACCAGCCACAGGCAGGGCCAGAGAGCTCCTGTCCTCTCCCTCACCAGCTCCCCTCGCACACCAAAGCAGGTTTTGCACCCACCCTACAGCCAGAGTACCCTGAGAGTGGCCCCATTGTCAGGGGGTGGGGGAGGGCAGGTGTGCTGGTAGGTGTGCTGAGCACGGCACACGCTGCGCTGTCAAACAAAGTTAAACACCCCAGAGCGTCCCAGAAGGAGCAGCAGAGGAATGAACATGCAGACACCAGGAGGGAACGAGCAAAGAGCCTCTACTCCAGCACTTGGGAGGGGAAACAGGATGGAAACCCGAGCGGGGAGTGCTGCCGGCTCCACGCATTGTTCTGGGCATTGCCTTTGTCTGCCCTCCCGGCACCAGCTCCTCAAGAGCCACTCGGTGCCAGTGCCTGGCTCTTCCCCAGTGCGTGGGGCTGGAGCTGGGAGGGCGTGGGGCTGGGTCTGCGGCACAGAGGAGGAGGGTGCCAGGAAAACATCACCTTGTGCAGCTGGGGTGTCTGCAGAGAGGAGGATGAAGGGCCTGGAGCTGTCCCAGCCTGTCTGTCTGCTGCTTGCCCTACCCACACCACCAGCCTGTCCCCAGGACTGGCATGGGGCAGCAGCAGAGCCTGGACAGGCTGGGAACCACCAGCACCTCCTTGCCCACCACTCCACAAATACAAGTGAGATCAGGACAGGAGCCTCGAGGTGTTCAGGGTCCAGAATAATCACTCCACACCCCCAGGACCGCACTGCCATGGCCAGGCAAGTCCCCAACAGGCCCAGCACCACCTGGCAGCAGGGATGGTAGGGCTGTGGCACCGAGCTGGGCTGCGGCTCCTCACCCGCACCCACAGCTCCTACCCACACCCACAGCTGCTACCCACACTCCCCTGTGCCTAGGGCTGAGAGCTCTTCTCTACCACCCATCTTTTTGGGGCTGCAGAGAGATTGATCCCTGTGCCTCCCCCAGCTGTCTGGGCCCCTTCTTCACCTCTCCATCCCCACCCATTTCCCCATGCCCTGACAACCCCTCCTGAAGTCTCCATGCTCTTATCCCCACCCATGTCCCTGCTGCACTGTGCCGCTCCCTCCAGGCCCAGCCTGGCTCCGTGACCCCCATGTGCCCCCCACCCCCTGTACCTCCAGCCCCACTTGAGCTTTAGCAGGCTGAGGATCAGGCCCTGCAGCAGCCCCATCCCAGCCCCCTGTACCCTCACCCCGAGGTATCCTCGTACCTCCAGACCTGCCCCAGCTGCAGCAGGTGTGTCAAGCCCAGAAGCATCCCCATCCCCTCAGCACCCCTATCACCCCGATACCCCCATACCTTCCCATACGGCCAGACCTGCCCCAGCTGCAGCAGGTGTGTCAAGCCCAGAAGCATCCCCATCCCCCCAGCACCCCTATCACCCCAATACCTTCCCATACAGCCAGACCTACCCCAGCTGCAGCAGGCGAATCAGACCCCGCAGCCGCTGCATCCCCGCTGTACCCCCACCCCCCCAGGCACCCCACGCCCCGGGTACCCCCGTACCTCCAGACCTGCCCCAGCTGCAGCAGGTGGATCAGGCCCTGCAGCAGCCAGACGCAGAGGCGGCAGCAGCCGCGGGGGCCGCTGTCCTTGGTGCCACCGCCGCTGTCCTTGGTGCTGGCGGCGAAGTCGTAGACGAACCACCTGAGGCTGAGCATCTGCACCACGAGCGAGGGCAGCAGCACGAACAGCAGCGTCAGCCCGAACCACCAGCGCTGCCCCCGCACGTAGTAATGGGCCGCCAGCCACAGGTCCGAGGCGCCGTCCGCGAAGCAGACGAGGAGCGCGCAGAACACCCAGCAGCCGTCCCGCAGCCGGTACCGCCGCGCCGGGGGCTCCGCGCCCGCCTCCCGCCGCCCGCCGCCGCCCTCGGGGCTCTCCAGCAGCACGGCCGGGCCGCCGCCGCCGCCGTCCGACTTCGCGGCCATGTTGTCGGGGGAAAGGAGGAGAAAGGAGGGAGCGGGAGAGACTTCCGGAGGGATGGAGCCCGCCCCGGCAGCGCCCGCCCCCGCCGGCCTCGCCCCGCGCCCGCCGGCACCGGCTCCCCCCGCCCGGCGCCGGGAGGGCCCGGCGGGTCCCGCCGCTCCCCGCCGGAAGGGGCAGCCGCCCCCCCGCCGGCGCCGCGGGGTCCCGGAGGAGCGCTCGGTGCCGCCGGGCGCCGCCCCGCGCTGGGAAGGGCGGCCGGCCCCTCCCCCGAGCGGCCCCCACCCCCCCCGGTGCCCGCCGGTAAGGACCGCCCGGACCCGCCGAGCCCCGCACGGTGCGCCCCAGCCCGTCCCGGCGGAACCGCGCCGTCCGTGTGTCCGACCACCCCTTCCCAGACCACCGAGTACCGGAGATTCCCGGGAAGCTCCCGGGTAGCCCCGCGGCCGCCCAGCCCCGAGGCTCAGACCCTGCCCCTGAGTCCAGGCTTGGGCCGAGGTCCGGGTGGGTGGAGATGGGGGTGCCTCTTCTCCTCTTGGGCTGAGACAGGACCGCAGACCACCAAAACCCTGCCCGATGCAGCCAGAGAGGGGCTGGCTGGGCTGCACCTCAGCCCTGCTTTGGAGGGAGAGTCATGGAATCATCATAGGATGGTTTGGGTTAGAAGGGACCTCAAAGACCAATTTGTGCCAACCCCTTGCCAAGGGCAGGGACATCTAGACCAGGCTGCTGAAAGAAGTTGTATTCTCTTTAAGAAGACAAAAGATGGGGTTTGGGAGCAGGCTTTCGTTGTTCCCGAAATGAAACTCGTGAAAGAGTTACATATGTTATTCCCCAGCCTTGGGAATGTCCCTGAAAGTGAAGTACCGAGGCCACTGGAGTCTGGGTGCACAAGAGCCCTGATGCTGCCCTGCTCCGCCGCTCCGCCTCTCCTCCGCTCGTTGCCCGCGGCAGGTCGGACCCAACGCGCCGGGCAGAGCGAGGGGCCGCACCCCGGGACCGGAGCTCAAAGGAGGAGCAGCGCTGTGCCGGCATCCCTGGCACTGCTGGGCGGGAAAGGGCTGCGAGGGAAAGGGCTGCGAGGGAAAGGGCTTCCTCTCCTTTGTGGCGGCTCTCCAGGGAGGGTGACTGCATACAGCAGCTGCCTCCTGGAGGCAGCCCCAGCCCCCAGCCCCCGAGCTCAGCCTGGTGCCTCTGCCTGGAGCCCGGCCCGTGGTCAGCACACCGTGCCACATTGAGAGGAGGAGGGTGTTCGATCCCGGGAAACACAGCCAACTTCCAAATCCTGCCTTGCAGGGTGGCCAGAGGGATCAGCACAAACCGGGGGTGGGGTAAGCCTGCATTCCTGGGATGAAATCCAGGGGGTGAAGATGTTATTCAGCACAAGGGAGTGGCCGGGCCCTCGGCAAGGCTCTCCCCGTGCTGCATGTATTAGCATTGATAATGAAACACCTCACCTTGAGATGCTCCTGACAGATCCCCTCCACAAATGCCTGCCTGGGGGAGGGGATGCTCCCAGCATCCAAAGCCTGAAGAAAGCAGCCTTTCATCAACAACAGGCAGGGCAGGGCCCCTTCCAAGGATGGGGTCCACTGGCCAGAGCCCCTATCAACATTTGGGCACTCCAGACCTCTTTGGGCTTGGTCCCTGGGGACTCTCTGTCTGGGTTGGGTGATGGAGCACAGACCACGTTACCACGATGGTGGGCACAGCGCCAGGGAGAAGGGACTTGGAAATCAGGGAGAGACAGACCCACCTTTCTCCCCTGACCCTGAAACACCCCCACTGAAGCAGCAGTTAAAGATCCACAGCCTGAGAACATGGAGACCGTGGTTTGAAGTCTGATTTATCTTAACAACAGGCCCCAGCAGCCACATGAAAGAAGAAGAGAGAAAAAAAACCTTATAAACATCCCTGAAGCTTCCTGTGCAGCTGCCAGCAGGCAGGGAGGGTTTCTGGCTGCATACAGAAAAGGGCTGCAAGGAAGAAAAAGGAACATGATGAAACCAAACCTGCTCTTTCCACAAAACACACAGCAAAGCAAAGCAGCTCCCGGCAGCGGGCGGGTGGCTGCTTCCTCTGACTGCCCACTTCCCAGGGGAACTGGTCCAAATGGACCTCTGGTTCCAGTCTGAGTCCAGCTTCCAAGCAGAATGTCTGCCCCTGGCGCTGCCTCCAAGAGGAGAAATCCATGATGATTTGTGGCTGGCTCAGAGCTTGGCTGGGGAGAGGCCACAGAGTGCAGCACCAGCCACTTCTCACTGCCCTGAGAATGTTTTCCAGATGCCCATGGCTTGGCGATCCCTCAGCTGTGCTTCCCCCATGCCTGTGCTGAGCTGGACCCCATCTTCCCAGGGAGAGCAGCCCCCGCCCTTCCATGCAGCCCAACGTTCCTGGCAAAACCCTGCCTTCACTGCACTGTCATTGGCAACCCCAGAGTCACTGCTTCCTTCCACTGCTGCCAGGACACAGCCAGCCTGCTCCCATCCCTGTTCCCATGCTACATCTCATCCCATCCCCTTCCCATCCCCTTCCCATGCCCATCCCCATCCCATCCCCATCCCCATCCCCATCCCCATCCCCATCCCCATCCCCATCCCCATCCCCATCCCCATCCTTATCCCCATCCCCATCCCCTTTGCCATCCCCTTCCCCATCCCCATCCCCATCCCTCCTGCCCAGACTCTGAAACCCTCCCTCCTTCCTGCTTTTTCAGATCTCCAGCCAGCTGCTCCCACCGACAAATGAGCATTTCCCAGCATTGGCATCCAGCCCCAATCCCAGTACATTTTCTGGCTGATGTCAGGAGGGAATCTAACCCGAGTGTGGATCATTCCCAGCCTGGAGTGCCTGTGTGTGCCCCAGCACCGGCTCCCTCTGCTCCCCTGAAGCTGCTGTACTTCATTTGATGCAGCCACAGACAGAGATCTCAGTTAACTGAAACAAATGACCTTATGGGATTAGGGCCAGTAATCTTCCGATCTGGGTAATCTCCCTTAAGGGATTATTTGCCCACAGAAGTGTGGTGACCACCAGCCAGCTGCTGCCTTGCTCTCTCCATCCCTGTCCCCTGTGGTCCTCATCTCTGACAGTTCAGAGGGGCCACAGCAGTGGGGTCACCACCTTTGCAGAGCTCCTTGTCTAATGAGTTTCATGAAGTGCCTGTGCCAGGGCCCCCAAGTGCTGGGGCTCCTCCTCTCCCCGGCCCCAGTTTGCTGCTTCAGGCAGGTTCTTGGGGCTCCCTCCCTTCAAAGCACTGATCTAAAGCAGATCAGAGGTCCCTCCACCATCACCAGAAAAGCAGCAGCTGGTGACACAGCCAGGGTGGCAGAGATGGACAGCTGGGGACAGGGCTGCATTCAGAAACTTGAGATGCTGTTTCAAGGCTCTGTCCAGAGAAGGGACATGGGACATGAGAACCCGTGTCCCCTGTTACCCACCAGCCCTGGGTGTGCTCCTGGGGCCCCTTTCCCTTTGCAGAGTGCACACGGTGAGGCTCTGCATGTCCTCACCATCAGTGCTGTGTCTCTGCATCTCCCACACTCCATTTTTCCAGCTCCTCTTTCTCATGGCTGGGTGGGGCAGAAAGAAGGGGATAAAAAGCATTTTGAGTGGCAATATATTTGCCTTCCTGCAGGCAGGGGTGTTGAGGGCAGCAGATGGATATGGTCCCTGCCAGAGCATTCCCGGGACCAGCCCTTGCCTGACACAGACTGGGGGGCACCGGAGCTGGCTGAGGGTGAGTCAAGCTGCCAGGACCACAATTGGCTCCTGTTCCTGGGGATGGCAGGTCCTGGACGCTGAGCTACAGATGAGCCACCAGCTGCACGAAAGGAAACCTGAGCTAATCGCCCCGCGCTCTGAGTGCCCTTTATTGCTTTCTGGGATGACAGAGGGGACACCTGATGCTCCAAGGGCCCAGCTGCCAACAGCGGTACCGTGCTGGGAACAGCGAGGAAGAGGAACAGACGGTGGTGCTGGGGGCGAGGGGATGGGCTGTGAAAAGTGATAAATAATTCACACACAAGGGGACCAGGCAAGGCAGGGCTCTCAGCCCCTGTCCCTCAGGGCTGTGCCGAGCGGGGTGAGTTGGGGGCCGGCTGCGGGGCCGAGACCCCCACTCCGGGGCTCGGTGCCAGGCGGCCACACCGAACCCTCCATCCTCCTGCCGGGCGCTGAGTCCCGTGGGCACAGAGGCAGCCCGGAGCCATCCCCGGCACCGCTAGTCCGCACTAGGGAGGAGACCCGCGCTGGCAGCGGGCACGTCCGTGCCATTCCCGGCCGTTCCCGGCCATTCCCGGCCATTCCCGGCCATTCCCGGCCGTTCCCGGCCATTCCCGGCCGTTCCCGGCCATTCCCGGCCGTTCCCGCCGCTCTCGCCCCACGCGTGTTCGCGGCCCCGGTCGGTCCCGGCGGCGGCCGCGAGAGGGCGCGCTGAGCCCGGCGCCTCCGCCGCGGAACCGCCCGCGCGGCCGCGGCTGCGGCCCGGAGCCGAACGGCGGCGGACCCGCAGCGGCCCCGGTGCAGGCCCCGCTCGGCCCCGCCATGGCCCGGGACCCGGCCTTCGTGCTGCGCTACCTGGCCGAGGTGGAGGAGCTGGCCGAGGACGTGCTGGCGGCACGGCAGCAGGTACGGCCCGGCTCCGGCGGGCCTCCCCCGCCCCGCTCGGTCCCGCCGCCGGTAGCCCCGAGTCCCGGCCGCTCCCGCCTCTCTCGCTCCCCTTGCAGATCGTGGACCTGGACGTGAAGCGGAACCGCAACCGCGAGGCCCTGCGGGCGCTGCTCAAGGACCCGGAGCCCGACGGTGAGGCCGGGCTGGCTGCGTGCACCGTGAGCTCGTGGCCGCGGGTCGGGCTCCGCTGACAGCCCCTTCCCTTCCCTTCCCTTCCCTTCCCTTCCCTTCCCTTCCCTTCCCTTCCCTTCCCTTCCCTTCCCTTCCCTTCCCTTCCCTTCCCTTCCCTTCCCTTCCCTTCCCTTCCCTTCCCTTCCCTTCCCTTCCCTTCCCTTCCCTTCCCTTCCCTTCCCTTCCCTTCCCTTCCCTTCCCTTCCCTCTCCTGCAGAGAAGGCCATGGTGTGTTTCGGGGGTATGTTCATCGAGCTGCCGAAGGCGAAGACCCGGGAGATGCTGCAGCAGGGTGAGCTCACCCCGAGGGCTCCGTGTAGCTATAAGAGATTTAACCAGCACCATAATTAACAAGATGTTGGCTCAATTAACGGACTTGTGCCCAGAACCTCTCGAGAGGCTGATTCTGGCCCGAGCTGTGCCTTGGGAAGCACACGTGGAAGCTGCTCGGCCCCTGGGGTGGTGCAGGCAGGGTGGGATTCCCCTGTGTTGTGTCCCATGGGAAACTGAGCCTTCATCCCAGTCCTCCTCACTCCCGCCTCTTATCCCAGACCAGGCAGAGCTGGATGAGGAGATAAACAACCTCCGGAAGGAGCTGCGGGTGAAGGTCAACCGGCTCTATGAAGCTCAAGGTAAACTCTCCCGCTGGAACCTGCTCAGTGCTTGGGAGCTGACTCGTGTATCAGCAGATTCCTTAGTTCCATGTGTTCCTGCAGCTCTTTTCCACTGGTTTGGCAGTTCCCTCCCTGCCCCAGCAGCGTTGTCTGTCTCTGTGTGGAGCTGCCACCCAGCAGCACCCTAAACCCCCTCCGACCCTGTGCTGGGGTGACCCCACTTCAGCTTCCAGGGCTGTCCCTGCCCTCCCCACAGCCCCTCTCGAGTTGAACATGGACTGCTGCACTTCTTTGGTGACAAAATCCTGATGTTTCCAATGTGTTTTCTCAGGTAAACCTGAGCTGAAAGGGTTTAACCTGAATCCCATGTCTGCTGAGGAAATGAAGCTCATCAACCGCATCCTGGAGGGCTGAGGTGGCCGTGCCATTGTCACAGCGTGTTTGGCTGTCACTGTGGGCTCATGTTGCAGTAGCCACAGTCCTTGGGATTTGTAGGATGTTGGAGTGTCCAGAGCCCACCTGGGTGAGGGCCCTGGGAATCCTTTGACTCCTCAGCTGCAGCTCTGCAGTTTCTTTGCACCACAAACCCTTTCCTGCTCTGTGCTGGATCTTGGCACAGTGCTGGGCGAAGACCCATGGCTGGGGTGGAAGTGGGATCATTAAAATCAGAGCAGTGGGACATTCCTGACTCTGTGTGCATGTTCCTTGTTGGGGGTTTATGTGAACACTTCTGGGGCTTGGCTTCAGAGCTGCTCCTTTGTCACGCTGGGAACAGGAGTAGGAGGGATTGGGAATCCTCCACATGCCTGAAGCACAGAAGAGGAGTTGTGCACGCCCGTGGCATTCAAACAAAGCAAAGCTGTACATCTGAGGCACGTCAGGAATCTCTAAGGATGTGTAGGGAGGAGCAGGAGGAGGCAGCATCCTTTAGTCTTGCTGGGAAAACATGTTCCACTGTTGGAAGGCAGGAGATGACAGAAATGAGGCTTTCAGGACTGGATGAATTGATAAAACTTGGGTATGTTTTAAAAAGCAGCCTGAGGAGGGCTGAGCAGGAATAGTCACTGAGTTTGTCTTGTAGTAAAAGGACAATTGATGTAACTAGTAGTAGTTTCTGCAAAGGTTTTAAAATTTGCTGTTTTCTGTGCTCCTCCAAGTGCTTAACTTGGTCAAGAACATAAGTTTTTAAAAAAATTAGTGATAATTAGTACATGACTATACAGTGAGTTTGATGTTTTTCCTGCACACAGGGAAGTGTCTGGGTCCAACCAAGCCCTTAATTTTTTGAACTTCTGTAGAGATATTTCTGGGCAGAGTTTCAGAACTGTAAACATGACTGTTGTCTTTTCTCCAGCCCTGAGGTTGCTCACCTGTTCTGCCAAATCTTGCATGAGCGACCGAGCTGGCTCCTGGGTGTGGTCCCTTGCTCTCTTTCCTTTTTCCCAGCCATGACAACATCAAACACAGCACCACCATTTTCCCTGGCTCCCTGACCACCTTCCAACTTTGCAAGGCCTTTTCCTGCCCTGGCCAGTTCTAAACACACTTCAAATTACAGAGAGTTCCAAAAAATACCCTGTATCTGACCCCTTAAAACCAAGGTGTGATTTCTTTAAACCAAAAAACCCAACTACCATTGCTTGGTCTAACTTTTAAAATTCTACTGCTGACACTACCTAAATGTTTTTCTGTCCACTTCAGGCTTATATTTCAGATACACAGACTAAAAATAACAGACATCCTACCCAAACTGTCTTGCCTGCAGCTTTTTCAGAAGCTTGCCTGTCTCCTGGGAGCAGGAGGCAGCTCACAGTGGCACATCCCAGTGCTGGAGCTGCTCTTACATAAGCCATGTGGTGCAGCCAGTCCGTGTCTCCATAATGTGATGGCAGGGTTATTTTTACAGTCTCATGGCAACAGGTTTTCTGCTCTGACATGTTTCCATAGTAGTAGCAGGAGGAGGATCAGGTGCCTGCCTGCCCTAAAAGCTTTGTTTTGCTGTGCAGAATGTGTTTAGCCCCTTTGTTTTCTTCCATGGAACAGAACTAAGCTCTGCAGTGCAGAGGGCCAGCTGAGCAGCCAAGCATCCCTGTGTCAGCTAAAATACCTCATTCCAGCCCACTGCAGCTTCCAAACTGGGAAACTCTCAGAAGCAAGGGAGCCAGTACCTTGTACTGACCCTCTATGTCCAGAGAGAAGTGGGAGCTGCTGCTGCTACCTGACACTAGGGGAGAGTGAACTTCATCCATGAGGGTGTCTCCCACCCCAAGCTTGGATCAGCACCACACTTTCTGCTGTGCAGCCAGATTCCTGTTCATTTGTTTCTTCCTAGGACACAGCAGCCACATGAAAGCATTAACAGGCAAGTTACACAGCACCTTTCTCTTCCTGCCTGTAGAGGCAAGGTGATGTTTCACTTTCAGGTGAGGCTCTACTCATGGGTTGTTGGTTAGAATCCACAGCCAGAGATGATGCTGGACGCACTGAGGTGTGCATGGCAAAAAGGAACAATGTGTGTCAGCTTCTCCAAGTATAGAGAATCCAAGTACTGCTTCCCATCAGTAAAACACACAACTAGCTTCAGGAAAGTGCCCAATCAACAGTCACCACAGTGCCTGCAGAGTCATTTTCGGAAAACATTTGGTCCTTTTGGTCTCCTATTTCCATAAGAGCTCACACACCCATTCTTGCTCCCCAGTGAAGATGTGCATTCCCCTCCTGTGCCAACAACTTCAGGACCCAGCAGGACACCTGCCAGCACTGGACGAATTCTGCACCTAAATGTGTGTTTGCCATGAAGTTCTCATTCACAGAACACCCAGATCTCCCCCTCTGCTGACAGGTCAAAGCCTCCACCTGTCAGCAGCTCCTTCCCTGTCAGCCTACAGCATCAAACTCGTGGACTGAAGCACCTGAGCAATGACAGTACCCCAGCTGCATGCAGGAATCAACTCCCAGATAACCAGGGACACAGCTGAACAGCTGAAAGCAGAGGACATCTCTGCTATTAATATCTGGGTTAGCACAGTTGTATGGTCAATGACAAAATGCTGCAAGACCAGCTGCTGGGAACAGAGTGCTCCAGCAGTGGGAGTGGGAGGCACAGTGCACAAGGACCTCTGACAGAGAGCTCTTGTGCAAGTCCTGGCTCCAACATGGGCTGCAGTCCCTTGGCAGCCCCATGCTGCCTTGTTTTCCCACTCTGAAGGGGCAACTTGCTTCTTTACTTTGTTCTGCTTTGGGATATTCATCATTTAATCACTATGAAGGTTAGAGGATTATGATCAGTTGCCAAGAAAATCATGAAACCAGACTGTCCATCCCAAACAGTGTAATAAAACCCCTCAGAAAGTGATAAACATCTTCACCCCCCCTATTCTCCCTGTTCACAATGCAGAGTCTTTCAGAAGATGAACTTGAGTTCAGAGTCTCCCTGGCAGTGCACGAAGGTGAAGTGTTTACCTCCAGAACCCAGCTGAGGTGATATAACAGTAAATTAGGGAGAAACAGGCAGTTTTACCAATGCCTCATTAAGAAAAATGCCTGCCCACAAAATCATTACCCTGCTAGCAGGCAGGAGTGAGTGTGAAGCAATAGGAAATCCAACCCTAAATCTCTTTCCCATGTGCTGAGCCAAAGAACATTCTGAGCTTGTTGCAAAGTTTCTATTCCTGTTCTTGATGATACTAAAGAAAAAAAAAAATCCCTTTGGCTTCCAGAAAGAAAAGTAAAAAAAAAAAAGTCATGCTGAAGCAGCAAGTGCTGAGGAAGATTCACAAAATGAGCATTAACCCTTTTTAATTGCAGATGTGGGTGTCTGCAGGGAACAGGTTCCCAGCAGAGTGTTCAGATATCTCTCTGAGAGCCCAGCAGCACTGTGATGACATCAAGGACTTTCATTCCAATTAATTTCTTTCCTGACTAACTGAAGTTACTTTGGCCCTTTACCTGCAGGCTGCCTTAGCAGTAATTTTGTTTGTGGCTGTGAACATAGTAGATTGTACACATTAGAGCTATTCCAGACCAGAAATGAGCTTAATTTATTTGTTCATTTGAAATAAAACTGTCCCCAGTGGCACCATGTGAAATATTGGGCTGAAGCTGACAGGACACAGTGCTGTAACAAGTAATACCAGTGACCATGTCTTGTTAGAAGAGTTAATTTAGAGGCATTTGATAGGAGAGCACCAGCAATCTAAGTCACATCTAAGGGAAATTGCCTTACCTATGCTTCTTCTTGCTCTTTACATGACTAAGACTGAAAGAATAATAATCGTATTTTTGCTTGTCATTTTTGTAGTGCTATTTGCTGTTTCTGTTTCTCTCAACTCTTGTAATGACAAATCAGTTTCGTTCTCAGGTTTCTGCTGTTGCAATACTTCTGTTGCGAATGCAGCAGATAAATTTCTGAGAATTTCAGCTGAATTTCATGATAAATATTTTTCACTTAACTAGGGAGAAAACCTGTGTTAAAAAACAAACAAACAAAACCAACCAAGTCAAATTTTGTTTTAAAGGGGCTTTTTGATGTTAAGTACCCTCAGTTCCTGGCCTGCATCTCAGTCAGTGCACCATGGACGTGGTGATGTAGCCAAACCACTCTGGGGGGAAGTTTATCAATGCTGATGGGGCACTGCTGTGGGACACATAAGCAGGAGAGGTGATCATAACCCTCCATCTCTGGCAAGTGCTCTGATACTTGTGATTTGCTGGTACTTGGAGGGGAATATCTTCCAGAAATAGCCAAGTTGGCAGGGTTTCACAACAGGGCTAGAGATGTGACAGAGTTATACGGTGCTGCACCCAACTGAAGTCTGATACTCTGATTAAAAGCAGCTATATCCTCCCAGGTGGCAGCTTCCTTCACGTAACCAGTTCACACAGCTGTACATCTCACTTGCTGCACCACACCAGCTCACTCAGCCTGCAAACCCCTACCTGCAAGGTGTGAAAGCATCACCAGACACCCCTGTGCCAGGGCCAGCAGCTGACCTGACACTGTAATCCCTTGTCTGCTTAAGAACACGCTGAGGGTTTCAGATCCTGATGGGTTGGGGTGTCACAGCCCAGGAGATCAAAGTAGCATTTGTCACTGCTAATCCCCTTCTGGATGGACACTGGATGAAAGTGCTTGTCCATATCCACAATGAGAACCTGCAATGGCCGTGCCCCACACTTGGGAGTCGAGCACTGTCCAGTTTGCTTTACCATCCACCTGCAGTCCTGAGACATCCAAACAATTACACAAAGTCACTCCCAACAGATGAGCACACATTTAGTCCATGTGATTTGTTTTCAATCATAATCTCCACAGCCCAGCAAGAATTCTGAGTGAAAGGCCAGAGACCAAAGGCTGTGCCACCAGCCACACTCAGCAGTTAAATCCTCCAGGGTTAACTGCTATGCACCTACAGGAGAAAACAATGCCCAGGTCTCCATCAGAAGTTCCCCAGCAGCAATTTACATCCTCTCTGCTATCAGGGTACTGCAAAAATTCTCCCTTCCTTACTGACAAGAGAGATTTATAGAAGGGAGCAGCCCATAAAATGGGATATTAATGGGGAAAATGGGAAATACACCATCCTCCATTATGCTCAAACACCATTCTCAGATTCATGAGGAATCTGACAACCTATTTTTTTCCTTCCATCCTCCCTCTCTCTCTCCCTCAGCTGCCACCTCTTGAGAGAGGCAGCTGAACAGTGACAGCTTTGTGCAGCAATGCCAGCCTTGCTGTCCCTCTGAGGTCTCAGAAGCAAAAGGCTAAGCTACATCTACCTCTAAGGACTGCACTAACAAGAACATTATTGAGTTTAAAGTAAAAAATATCCAAATTATAGATGCACAAAGTGACATTAAAGCAGAAGGCTGGCCCAGCCTCACACCTAAAGCTGCTACCAAGGAGATGACCTGGCTGTGTGTCAGGAGAAGAGGCAGCACAGTTAAGTGGCTGCAGCACACCTGGCAGGGCAAAATCAGCTCACCTGCACCTGCCAGAGATCCCACAGCAAGCAGCCAGGAATAGCCTGGAGGCAGCATGTCCCCCTCCCTGGCCAGGAGCAGTCAGGTGAAGGCTTTTGTGCTGCCACGTTGGTGAGAGGAACACCTAGGCTGAAATAAAGATCCAAGACAAACAGACACTGAACAAGCAAATATGCACTTCTCACTCTGACGGTCCTCTGTGCCCCAGCAACAGTTATTTTCCCTGTCTGTCCCTAAGTATTTTCTCAGTTTTCAGCCACCTGAGCATAAATCCAACACTGCATGATGCTATCTGACCAAAAATAGTAAAAATCAGAAGTAATCAACAAAGTAATGGAAAAGGAAAGAACAACAGCCCTTAGTGCTGTACCTTAAGGTGAGACACTGGTACAAGTTGCCCAGAGAAGCTGTGAATGCCTTGTTGTGATAAACCAAAGTTTGCTTAGAAAAATTGGTTGAGCCCTGCAATCTGTTATTTCCCAGATAACCCACTTTGACAAAGTGTTATTGCATCGGATAAGGGAAAAGGCAGATAAGAAGCAGATCCTGCAGAGGTGGGCTAATGTTTTTTGTCCTGCCAATTTCCTCCCTCCCTGTAAGGCACAGCTTCATGTGACAGTGTAACCCTCCCCGCCAAAGGGAGGTATCGAGGCATTTCCCCTAAGACTGAACACATATAACCCATGGAAGTCTTCGTTGTGTGTGGGCTCCTAATGGATGAAGACTGTGACCATCATGCAGAGCACAGATATTGAAACTGCAGTGATGAAACCTCATCACTGGATCCATGGGTGGTGGTATTTTTTCCTCTCGCATCTTTTATTGTTCTTTCTTTCTCTTATGTTTCCACTTTGTTTTAATTTTATATTTTTATAGAAAATAATCAAAACAGCTGTATGCTTCCTTTTAATTTGTTTTAAAACAAGCCTGCCCCATATATGTACATTGGTCATTCAATGTCATTTCACTCTAATTCTCCCCAAGAGATCTATTAACAAGAACCTCAGTTACCACTCAAGGGTGAGTACTAACACCCATCCCTGGAAGTGCCCAAGGCCAGGTTGGATGGGGTTTGGAGCAACCTGGGATAGTGGAAGGTGTCCCTGCCCATGGCAGGGGGCTTGGAACAAGATCTTCACATCACCATGTCTTAAACCTTGGCACACCCTCCCCCAAGGGTAGGGTACTCTGCACCCGGTACTCTGGAAAGGCTTTTGATCACTTAGAGTGAGTGTGAACTCTGCTGAACTTTCACAAAGAGAACTGATGGATTTTTCTGTCTCCTAAACCATCAAATTGAGGTGGCATAACTTTTGGGAAGATGTGTTAATCAAATGAAAGCTATCAAACTCAATACAGCAGCAAGTGTGACACGCTGAAAATCAAATAGTTCTCTCCCGTGAATCACCCTGTCCTTACATTCTGAGAACCCAAGGAAGAAGAAAGGCTGCCAAAATTCAACCACTAACAGTAAAACCAGGAGTGACATTTCAGCTTTGTTCCGAGCTGATTTGTCAAACTGACATTTCCAGTGATCTGATGACACCAGTTTTCCAATGAAAAAGGACTGGAGAGAGACAGGGTGACAGCAGCAGCGACAGGCCAGCGAGTCCTGTAGGTGTTTGCAGGAGTTGGAAGTGACAAGGTTCATCTGATGCATCTAATACCAAGCGGTAGAACTGCACAGTCTCTTTCTTACCCTGCCAGAATCTTAGAAAATCCTGAGTTGAAAGGGACCTACAAGGATCTATGTCCAACTCCTGGCCCTGTGCAGGATCACCGAAAGAATATATAGTATAAATATGTGTATGTTTTTATATATTTATATAAAATAATATAACCCAGTTGCTGCCTAGTGTTAGATGTACCTGAGATTGGAAGTTTATATATAAATATGAACACAAAGTGTAAAAAATCAGATCCCAAAAGAAATATCCATCCATTTGGGAAAATCCATTGTAAAAACCTTTATTGTTACCCTGGAGAATGGTGAGGAGTATGGCAGGAGGGCATCATGGGAGAACAGACCAAGCACTGGCAGAAGGAGAGGATGAAAAAAGAGCAAATGAACAAAATGCCTGTTGGATATTCCCAAAGAAAAGACAGTCATTCTCACCTTCTTCAATCAATTATACATTTCAGTTTTCAGAAACATTCCCCCACCTTGTGACTTGCCAACCTACAGATGGGAGAGCAGACTTAGTGGCATTAATGTGAGCATTTCCTGCAGTTTTCCAGAACTTCAGTGCAGAAGACCTGCATAACCTGATTCATCAGCTGCTCGTGTGCAAGTGTGTTTATTTAAGGTTATGGGGGCAGGGAGATTCAACAAAAACCCCCTCATGTTTGTGTTTGGAGGATTCCTGGAGGAAAGGCAGAGCAGGCAGCCTATGGGGAACTCCCACAGCAGCAAATAAACAAACTCAGTCACACGTTTCCAGAAATATATGTAACGCAACATATGTTGTTGGGAATTTTAAGTCCCATTTAAAATTTGTGTATGTTACAGAAGAACTTAATTAAACAGGAAAGACAAAAAAGGCGTTGGGGAACCATGGAAAATGAGCAGAAAAATCTTGAAGGCAGCTTAAGCTGCATATTGCATAGAAGAGGGTGAGGAGTGGCCCAGATAAGGCAACCAAGGAGCACAGCTCCCACACTGCTGCCCAGGTCCAGCCTCCTCCAGCCCAGGATGTGGCACTGGGCACATCCTGACCTACAACTGCCTCTTGAGTGGGCAACCCAGGACATCACAACACAGGGCTGCTCCAGAACACAGAGCAACAGAAGGAGTAACATGGAGTTTATTTTTACTTGCCTGCAAGTTTTGAGGTCAGCCACAATCTATTTAAGTTGTTTGTATAATTTCAGTAATCACAGGCTTTTCATATATCCTTATTTACTGTGTTCTGGTTATTTACCATGTTAATTGAGGTTGTGGGGCAGAAAATCAGTTTAATGTATGGGTTTTGTTGCCAATTAACACTTCCCATTTGTAGAGTTAGATAATCACTAGCTGCTATCCTCCTGGTTGTAATTCACGAGTTAGTTTGCATAATTACCTCCCAGTTACTTCTCACAAGGGTAAGACAAATCCTCCTGTCCCAGCCTCCTCACCAGACCTGCTGCACAAAACAGAGGGACTGCTCACTCGCAGGGGTGTGTTTTTAATTATGCATCACAGCACAACACTTAGGATGTTAAATGGCTTGAATCCTCTGGCACGGGCAAGGCATTTCTCAGTGTCACATTATATTGCCAGAATTTCTAAAGGAAACACAATTTTTCCTTAATCCCCAGATCACTGGCTGAAGGGGAAGCTGCTGTGTTCAGCGTAGCTCCATGTTTGTCCAGGGGGACAAACATGACTCAAAGCATAAAGCTGCCCTTCTGTACCTGTAGGGCAGGGAGAAGTTCACGCCAACCAAATCCACCCCACCTTATGCTCCAGACTGGTAAAGGATATCCCTTCCTGGAAGCATTCAAGGCCAGACTGGACTGGGGTTTGAGCAACTTGGTCTAGTGGATGTTGTCTCTGCCCATGGCATGGGCATAGAAAGACATGAACTTTAAGATCCCCTGTAACACAAACCAAACCATTCTGGGTTTCTGTGATGATGGAGCCTCCCATAATCTCTTCAGAGTCCCAGGCTGGAATTCCACCCAGTAAGTTTACACCAGACTTGACATGTAACACAACGGGATTTCCCTAAATCCAAATAGCTCCATCTTTGGGGGCTGCCCTAATGCTCGCTAACCAGAAGCCAAATTAGCCACCTGTCCTGCACACGCCACCTTCTTGCACACCTGCAGCTGAACTGAAAGATTTCAGAGCATGAACTCAGCCAGAACCCCACAGTCAGAACCCTTGGGAGCACAGTCTGTTCCTCCACACAGAGCTCTGCACTTTATACCTTTACCACTGAATCAACTTTGGTTCTACAAATAAACTGAGCTGACTTTTGGCTGCTGAAATAAACTCTTACACAAGAAGCAGTGTTTTGGTGGTACATGTTGATCAGAAACCTGGCCAGGAGCACTGCTGCTCCATGTTACCTTGCTCTGCCCAATTCTTCCTGCGGGTTTCCTGCATATTTTCCTCTCCCCCTGAAGAACGAAGGCATCCATTCATCTCTCACTTTCCTTGGGAGAGCACATACTTACCAGTATCATAACCCAAATAATGCCAGGGTTCTTGCAAAATTCTTCCACAAACAAATAGTACTCTGAAGGCATTTTCAGGGTCTTCAGAATAAAGGCACGTTTTCTTGCCTCAGGCTTTCCCGCTTCCCTTTCTAACTGCTTCTGAAACCTCTTCAGATCCTTTGCTAAGCAGCTGTTCTGACTCAGCTGGGTAGGAAGAGAAATATAAGATTCAGCACAACAAATGCTCCCACAGTATGACTTGCTTTAATTGCCCTTGAGAAGCTTCTGGAGATCAACTGCACCTCATATTCTGAGAGGAAAAATAAATAAATATAGATACCACTGATAACTGCTTTTTCTTTGTGGAAGAAGAGGATCAACTTCAATTTTTGTCTCTCTGCATGAGCACTGGGGGCTAGGACAGGGCAAGTATTACAGTACACGTTCCACCATTCCTGCTGTAGCTTTCCTGTGCAGCCAGCATCCCCCTCTCCAGGGCAGGCAGCTGCCCACAGTGACCCTGCAGCAGCTCAGCCACAGCACTCCTGAACCACTGCTGGTCAACCCACTGGTACAAACCACCCTCCATAGAGTCACAGACTGGTTTGGGTTGGGAAGGACCTTAAAAGTTCATCCTATTCCACCCCCTTTCCATGGGCAGGCACACATTGACCTGGCTGTTCAAATGCCATGTCTGGTGAGGGCTGAGGCTCCCAGTGGGATCACATCCTGCTCAGCCATGTGCTGCAGGAGACAGTGGCCAGGAGAGGACTGGGCTGTAGGTGTTTGTACATTGGAACGGGCTGCCCAGAGAGGTGCTGGAATCACCGTCCCTGGAGGTGTTTAAGGAAAAACTGGAGTAGCACCCAGTGCATTGGTCTGGTTGACAAGGTGGTGCTCAGTCATAGGTTGGACTCCACGATCTCAGAAGTCTTTTCCAACCTAATGAATTCTATTATGCCTGTAGCATCTAAACCTGCCCATAGATACCAGCCATACTCCCATACACAGCGGGAAGCTTTGGGGCGGCGGGGGGGTGGGGGGGGGTGGCTATCCTTGCCCTCATTGCACACAGAGCATATGGGGCTTAACATACTGTCCCGGGGATATGCAGGAGCTGGGATACAGAGCTGGGAACCCGCCAGGAGCCCCCCGGGAACCCCCCGGGCCCCGCTCGGAGCTAGGCCGCGACCCCCGACCCCCGCCCGTCCCCATGGCAACCGCGCGGCTGCCGCCAGGGGGCGCTCTCGGCACCGCACCCCCGGCCCGGCCCGGCCCCGCGACCCCCGGCCTGACCCGGTCCGAGCCCCCCGGCCTGACCCGGTCCGAGCCCCCCGGCCTGACCCGGTCCAAGACCCCTGGCCTGACCCGGTCCAAGCCCCCCTGCTCGGCCCGGTCCGAGCCCCCCGGCCTGACCCGATCCGAGACCCCCGGCCCGGCCCTCCCTGCGGACTGGCGGCGACAGGCCGGGCTGGGGAGCCCTCAGCCCTTCCCCTCCTGCGGCCCTGCGAAGTCCCCAGGACACTCCTGCAGCCTCCCGGGCAGGGTGTAGGGATCCTGCGGCGCCTGGTTGCAGGTGGGCACGGGCAGGGGTGGGCTTGGAGCGGGCAGGGCAGGGCAGGGAGGAGTGTGGTGCAGGCAGGGGTGGGCACGCTGCGGGCAGGGCAGAGATAGGTATGGTGCATGCAGGCGTGGGCATGCCGTGGGCAGGGGTGGGCATCCTGCCGGGCGCTGAGCCGCGTGGCCGCACAGACCTTCCTTGATGGAGTAGGACAAAGGTTTTGTTCTTCTCCCAACAGTGCAGCCTTGTGCGGCCGCGGGCAGCGGCGACAGGCAGCAGGCAGCGCGGCCCCGTGCTCCCACGGCACGGCGCAGGGGGGGAGCCTCTCCTCCTTTGTCTGCTCCCGGCCGGGCAGCGGCCGGTGCGCGGCAGCGCCGGAGCAGCCGGGGAAGGGCCTCGGCAGCAGCGGCGGAGAACGGCGGCCGCGGTTCCCCCTGCCCCGGCACAGCCACCGGCCCGGCCTCGCCGCGCTGGGAGCGAGCAGCGATCCCGGGGGAGCCAAGCTCTTCATGACGGGAACCCGACCAGGCAGCGGGGACGGCAGCCGCGCCCGGGGACGGGGAGGACGGCAGCATTGGGGACAAGGACACCCGCGCCCCGTCCCCACCCCCGGCGCCCGCCGTCGGCCATGGGGAACGGCATGAGCCAGGTAAAGGGGAGCGCTGGGGCGGCTGCTCTGCGGTTCGGTCGTGCCCGGGCGGCTCGTCCCGGTGCTGGAGGTGGGAGACCCTTACCTGGCAGCTGCCTCAGCCGTGCCAAGCGGCGTTTCACCTGCCGGCACCGGGCTCGGCTGATTGTTTGTTTGTCTGCCGGCAGAGCAACACCGGAGGTGAAACAGGCAGGGACACTGCGCCGGGACAGCTGACAGCTGCCCGGGGGGGTGGAGGGAAGGGGTCACAGCGAGTTCCTTCAAGGAAGGGGGGAACTTTTCCCAATACCTTTAATCCCAAGGCACCAGCCACAAGCACACGCTGTGAGCCCTGTATGACCCCGAGCCTGGTGGTCCCGCACCCCCTGTTCAGCGGGGCTGGGCTGTGCATGAGGCTCGGCACCACGGGGCAGAGGGGATGGGCACTATTCTATTTATGTGCTGCCCCGTTTTCTCCTCTGAGGAGCGGGTCAGCAGGGTGCTGGGGACAGGCACATGCTGTTTATTCATGGTTCAGTGTCCTGCCCTTGGGAGCTGCCCTTGCTAACTGGTGCTCTCCCACCCGCTCCTCTCAGTGCCGCAGCTGCGATTTAAAGGCACCCTGTCGATAGGAAATTGATCTAAAATCACAGGAATCACAGAAAAAACCCACTTCTTTAAGCTGTTCAATCGAGAAAAACGTTTCCAAATGTGAGCAGTGAGACAAGTGTGAGTCCAGCTGTGCTGGTGAAAATCACCTCCACCTGCCCTGGGCACCAAATATTGCTGCAGGGAGAAACTGGCGGAGAACTGGCTTGATACAGGATTGAACTCACTGCCCAGGCTGGGAGTGAAGGAGAATATAAAATAGCTCTGGCTGACAAGGTTTGCAAGATGTCCTGCTTCTACATCTGCAGTGCTGTTAACAGAGGCCTTGTCAAGTAATTATCTTTTCATCATGAGAAGTGGAATTTCCATAGGGAAATAAGCTGAAAGCATGGTGTCCAGAGCAATCTGTGCCTGAGCTGTGAGAAATGGGCTTCCTGCAGTGTAGAGTGAGGGGAGTGCAGCTCAGGGCTGGGAGGGGGACAGCTACACTCCCTACAAGCTTCTCTGTGCCTGTTGCTTTCCCATCCCTCGAGCAGCAGGGCTTCCACAGGTCACGGGTATAGTCCAAGGCTGTACAAAGGTGTATGCAACTTGCTGTGCTCAGGTAATAAACCCCAATGGAGGCCTAATTGATGATAAACAAGAGGAGCAATAAAAAATCCATGTCTGGCTCCCAACACCCATGAGAGTGTGGTGCCAGGTTGTTGCAGGTGCCAGGGCTACATCCAGCCCCACATCCTGGATGCCAGGGCAGTGGCAGCCCTGGGAATGCACAGGTCCAGCTGCCCTGGCACCGTTCCTGCCCTGGGGCTGGCAATGGTCATGTCAATGCCAGAACTGTGTTCCCTCCAGCCAAGGTCAGTGCTTCCCAGCGTGGGTTCCAGCACAGTGGGTACCACAGCACAGGGTCACTGCTCACACTGCCACTTCCCCTTGTGTCCCACAGATCCTTCCTGGCCTCTACCTTGGGAACTTCGTTGGTAAGTGGAACCCAGCTGCTGCAGAGAGTGGGGCTTGCTTGAGCTGGTGTCTCCCTGCCTGCAAATGCTGCCTGACATCCTGCCTGCACCCACCACCCTGCCTGCACCCACCACCCTGCCTGCACCCACAGCCTGCTCTGCTGTCACCCAGCTTGGGTTGGCAGTAGTAGGAGTGAAAATACTGTGGGAAAGGCAAGGCAGAGACCCCTGTCTTTGCATGGTTTCTTTATTTAACAGCTGTCCTGAGCTCTTGGGATGCTTGGGGGAAAGGAGCCAAAGAAGAAATATGGATCCTGTGCCAGCAGCAGAGGAGCTGGTGGTGCCGCACGGGTGCACGGGAGCGGGACTGGGGCACTTCAGTCAGTCAGCACTTCCCCAGTTTTGCAGCTGTAGAAGAGGCCAGAGGGGGCTGCCCACCCTCAGGAGGCAATTTCCCAGAGGCAGAGTTACCCCTTCTCACACCAAGTCACTATGTTAAGGAATTTTCATTGTCAGGGGACAGTTAATGACCAAGTGCCAGCATCTGCCATGACAAACGAGCATTTATGAGTACTCCTGCCTCCCTGATTGGCTCCTTTGCCAGCTTGATTCCTGCTGTAAGCACTGCACAAGTTTAAAACCACTGGTGTGAATTGCTAAGGAAATGTCACTGGAGTGGCAGCCCCGTTCTCCCTTTGCCCCATGGAGCACTTTGGGTTGGGCTGGGGGAGCTGTGGCTTGCTGGGAGCAGAGGGACAAGGGCACCCAGCTGCCAGGTTCATCAGGGGGGTTCCTGTGGGCAGCCTCTGCTGTGGGGCTTGGCTGTGATGCCATCCAAGTGCTCCTCATCACTCTGCCAAGCAACCCAGGGTGACAAGATTCTAGGCCTGCAACATTAAGCTCACAGAGGCATCTCCTCCAACTGGAAGCTTTTCCAGCCTCAGTGAGCCTTGATTTCAGTGTCACCAGTTGCTGTCACTGCAGGCTGAGGCGGATGGGAAGATGGCAGGTGTGTGAGTCCTCATCTCCCTCCCCACACAGAGTGCAGCTTCCCTGCAGAGCACCTCCCTTGAGACTCACTCCTATTAAAATTCACATCATGCCGTTAGCACTTCCCGGGCTGGATTCCTGAGCCAAGGTTTTACACCACGTGAAAGTTTAGAAACCCAAAAGAATGAGATGGGGAAATGTTTCCCCTCCTCTCTGGCCACACTTGCTGCATCTGCTGGTTGTGGCATGAAAGGGAGACACTTGGAAGCTGCTCAGCAAGACAAGCACGCTCCCCTCCCTGTGCAACAACTGCTGTGTTGGACCAGAGGCCAGGATCACATCCAGAATGTTGAAGCATTGGTGAGAGGCAGGGCATTGCCCCAAACAGCCAAGGACACCCCATTTCTGTCCACACAGCTGCAGAGAGAACAGACCAGAGAGCAGCAAGTCACTGCTCAGGTGTTTTCTACAGAAAATCAGAGTTGATATAAATTGCTGCAGCTCCATTTCCACAATTCATAAGATACAGCAGTTCTCTCAGGCTGCAGCAAGTCCCAGTGCTGTGTGTGTGTCTGATCGAGGAGATGTGGGCAGGGCACGTCTCCTCCCAAAGTGGGGACAAGTACAGGCAGGAGGGACACTGCCTGCTGACCCAGAGTGTTTCTGTGCAGATGTGAATGTTTCAACTAGCATGAGCAGCAAGGAGAGGGGATTATGGAGAGGCCTCTGTTTTGGGATCATGGGATTGGCATTCCAGCTTTCCATGTTTGCCCATGTCTGCATTGCTGCATGTGGGGGTGGGATGCAGTCGATCTGCTGGAGCAAGGCTCTGTGTGCTGGCTGGCTGTAGAAGCAGGGTGGGAGCACTGTGGGAAGAGAAGGCTAGGAAATAAATACATGTTGATGTCTAGTTTTATCCTTCAGATGCCAAAGACCTGGAGCAGCTAAGCAGGAACAAGATCACTCACATTGTTTCGATCCACGAATCCCCCCAGCCCTTGCTAAAGGTAGGGTCCTGCACCAGCTGTCACCCTGTACATTCCTGCAGCTCCTTCCATGCTGCATCTTCCTTCCCCCTCTGAGAATCCCATGGCACGTACACCTCTCCGTGGTCACTGATTCCAGAGGGGCTGGGTGGCCCCCGATATGGGAAATTGGCTGTCATGTGACTATAACCCGACCTTGAACATGGACAGGAAACAATTTCCAGCTCTCCAGGCTCCTCTTGTTTCCCGTCCTCTCCCACGAGCTGCTGGTGTCCCCTTGCTCTGCCCTTCACCCCAGGGAGAGTGTGGCCCCATCCCCATGCAGGGGGGATGCTGTGTGGGGGAAGCAAAACCTTGTAGGCAGCTGTGGGTGAGGAGCAAAGGCACTGCCAGCCCCGCTCTGACCATCTGTGACACCCTGGCTGCACTGCCTGAGCTTCTCCTCTTCCTATTCTGTCTTCCAGGACATCACCTACCTCCGCATCCCCCTGCCTGACACCCCTGAAGCCAACATGTGAGTACCCTGGGCACGGTGAGCA